GACAATGTAATTGTTGTCGTTTAGCAAAATGTATTCGTATTGGTATGAATATAAAATCAATACGTACTGATGATCAACGACTAGAAAGACTTCGATTGATTGAAACTAATCGACAAAAACGAGCAGAAAATAATCAAATAATGGTATTCATTTTATTCTATATTTATAATTAAACCTATATATTTTATTTAAGATTCGACCACCAAATCTTTTAAATTATAGTTCATCATCATTATCATCCTATGATCAAACACTTTTATCAAATATATTTGGTGCATATGATCGAACTTGTGTTATGTTAAGATTTAATGAAGAATTACAAAAACCAAAAGATTATGTAATATCATTAGAAAAAGTTATGAATTCGTTTGCTCATATGTATATGGCATTAATTCAATATTATAAATTTATTCCTGAATTTTCTAATTTACCTGTCAATATTAAAAAAACTTTAGTTAAAAATAATCTTAATCAATTATTTCGTATAAATAATGCTGTGGTTATAAAAGCAACTGGAATTACAGATGATGTTTCTGCAACTATATTTGTACGTCTTTTTCCTCCAGATTTATTTGCTGAATTATGTAAATGTATGATAGCAGTATTTTCGTTTATTTATGATCCTATTCTATTAAAATTAATTCTTATTGTTCTGATGTTTTCAACACATTTAAATATTCGATATGATGTTTATCAATGTGAAAATGAAAATATAACTGAAAGAATTTTTGCTATACAAAATATTTATGTTGAATTATTATGGCGTTATATTCTTTATCGTTGTTCAAATTTTCAACAAGCTGTTAAATTATTTAGTACATTTATAACTCAACTTGTTTATTCACAATATGTTAATACAAAACTTAATGAATATGTCGCGAAAATATCACCAAATCAAACAGATCAATTGGAACCAATTATGAAAGCTATGTGGTTAGATGAGAAAGACAAATAAATAAAATTAATTTTTCGATCTTTTTAATATAAATGTCAGATGTGTAATCAACAGAGCTTAGAAATGACGTATTATCAAATAAATATTTTTCTTGATGTAACTAAGCATTTCTTTTTTATCTCATAAATATATAAATGAATGGCTTTTATTCATCTTTTTGTAAATTAATTATTTAAAAGATTATATTCTTTGTTTTCTTTTCTTTTATTTTTATATGAAAAAAAAGAAGGGAAAGGTTAAACACTTTGGATAATTATGTTGGATGGTATTTTGTTAGAATTGATAATGCTAGAGTGTATAGATCAAGATGAATAGAACTAAAAACTATATAGTAAATGTTAATCTATTAAGTTCGGCTTTGAGTGCATGAACATCATCAATTTAGTGATGGCCAGCTTTATCGTCATGCCTAAATAAATTCAAAAGCAAAATATATATATATATATATGTATGATATATTTTTGTAAAATATTTACTTAGCTGAGTGTTGATCTTTATCTCTTTTAGTTGCTTCACGACTTAATTTCAAACTTTTATAAAATTCTGGATTTGTTATATAATTGATGTAAATAAAATAAACACTGGTAACAACAATTAGTCCAAGAGCCATTTGACCCCATACGTTCAAAGCTGTACCAACCAAAGGACTATATAAAAGAGGAAATAATAAAAGCGATGTACACTATAAAGATTTCTTAATGTATATTATTCAAATCATGTAATATAAGTCGTCGTTTACTCTATGACATTAGATAAAAAAGTGCAACTAATAATCTATTGTTATTTATATTAGCAATGCCTATGAGTGCTTTCTTTTTCGAATAAAATAATAGTGATGAAAATTTTCTAATGAGAATTAATTTCCTATAATAATATCTTACATGAAAGGTTCGGCTGCAGGTCTTGGTTTAATTGCATCTACTGGACTTAAGCGTTGTCGAGCATCTCGTACTGCCATATGAGTTCCACTAGAAGAATTTGATGTTTGCGAGTGTTTTGCTGCAGTGCCAGATGTTTTTACTTGTGTACCAGAAGTAGCTGCTACAGTTGTTGCAGTACGTTGAATACACGAGAATCGTGTTAAAATAGATCGTGTATTACGAAGTAGACTTGCCATTTATAATTGATTAAAAAAGATATAATACGAAAAATATCTACAACGAATTAATCAATAATCCTATTTAACAGTAAGTTTTGAAAGATAACAGAAAATTAACACAAATATATATATATATATATATCTGACTATAATAGAAGAAAAAGAAAAAAAAAACAAAACAAGAAATAGAGATCTAAAATCATTGATATACAAAAAACAACCGGGTTATTCATATATGACTATTATGTTTTTTTTAGTTTACAAATTAAACTCGTTTTTGATTATTATTATTATTATTACTATTATTTAAATTAAATGATGAAAATAATAATTGCATTAATTGACTATGACGATCTTGTGATGTTTCATCACTATCATTAATACGATTTCGAAGGCGACGTAATTCATTACTAATCATTTCAAATAAATTTCGAATTAAACTTTCATTTCCAATTTGACTTTGATCATTGATTGATGGTGTCATTAAACATGAATTTATATCTGAACTATTCGATGGACATATTGTTGATATCGATCTTTCATTGAATATTGTCTTTAAAAAATATAAAAAAATTTTAGTTTGAAAAAAAACAAAATCTTTCTTTTTAAATTCATACTTGTACACCTATATGGACAGATCGATTAGATACTAATGATTTCATACGTTCTTGTCGAAGAAGAATTGTATAATCAATTTTAATTTGTATACTATAGGAATCTTTTAATATGTCTAAAATTTTAATCCATATATAATTTGATTCAGCAATTTTCCAAAATGTTGCTAATTCATCATGTGTCATTGTATCATTTGTTAAACGAACACGTATACCAAGCCATGGAAGTTTACGAACAGATTCTGGACATGGATATATATCCGAAAACATAACAGTACTTTCATTACCAAAATCAACAAAAAATACAATTGCTTGTTTACGTTGTAAACAAATTGATTTAATCCATGCACGATACCATTTACCATCATCAACATAACGAGCAACAACAAGAGTTTTTATTCGTGGTGTTTCATATGTATAACAATTGGAAAGATTTCCTTCTTGTAATTGATTCATAGCATGATCAATAGCAATAGTATTTTCATTAACAAGTAAAACATAAAATGTATCATCTTTACCACTAAATGAACTAAGTAAAGTTTTTAATTCATCACCAATTGTTAATGGAAGTTCATGTCGAAATTGTTCAATTAATTCATCTTCAGGTGACATCAATGTCTGAAAGTGCAAATGATGTTATTTTAATAGTTTCTCATGATTTGCTTTATTTCAACAGAACAATGAAAGTTTCTTATTTTAGTATGACAAGATAGAGCATCTCTTACTGAGTTGGTGGATCTTCGACATCAGTTTTTGCTATTACTTTATTAATATTTGATGCTGTTTCTGATAGTTTTCTTCGACAAATTTTAATTTTCGATTTGGATTTTTTTTGACGGTCAATACTTCTATTAATACGTGAAACCGAAGATTGTGCTATAGAAATTCCATCACGTTTCAAAATATTCACAATTCGAAATTGAGAATATCCCTTCTGTAAAAATTGCAAGATACGCTCTTTGGTTATATCGGAAATTTCATTACGTGGCATTTATTCGAAATGTATTCAAACGAATTGGTGGAAAGACGAACGGTCTAACGGTCATTCGAAAGAAAAGAAAAAAAAACGTTCAATATATGACGTGCACATGTCCTCATGGACCTCGAAACCAATTTGATTATACATGATAAAGAAAGCTAAATCGACAGAGTAAAAGATGCTCTATCCTATCCTACTAAAATGAGAAACTTTCATGGTTCCGCTGAAATACAGCAATTAACGTAATCAATCTGTAGAACTTACATTTGGTACAAGTAATTGTCGTATTTGATCATTAACAATTCTTCCATTAACTGAAAGAACAACTTTTCCTCCTGTTGTACTATCATAACCATTAACAATAACATCATATTCATTTTCACTTAATAAAGCAATACATTCAGCAACAATATTCGATGGTATTAAATCATTTGTATCAGGTATACCATCAAGATGACACATTATCGAACAAGCTGGTTCAATATAAAATTCATTTGGTAATCGACGAATATATTCTGGTCCAATTTGCATTGGAATTGTCATACCCCAATCCAAATAAACAACTGTAGCAGTTGAAAAATCAGGTGAAATTTGTAATATACGACAACGAAACCAACGACCTTCATGATAACATGCACATAAACGATTAACTTGAGCTCTAATAAAAGAATTTATTTTTTGAATAATGGTACAAAAAAACATTTTACTTAAAAAGATGAGTTGGTGCATGATCAATATTAAGGTCAGGATGTATAGCCATATCATGAAGAAGACGACAAGCTGTATTAAAATCTTCATTTAACATAAGCTAAAATTAATATATTTTCGTTTTTCGAATAAAAATAAAAATAAAAAATTTACATGAACAGTTGATGGACTTTGTGGATGAGAAATATGTACTTTATTTAATTGTTGACCACGTACTAATGCTTTATGTTGTGGTATATCCATTAAAACAGGTGCAGATTTAATTGTTGATTGTCGATGAAGAATATTTTGTATAGAATGAATGGGTTGAAAAGCTGATCCTATCGGTTGTTGTTGTTGTTGTTGTGGTTCGTTTGTTTTAATTAAAGAATTATTATGAAGATTATTATAACTAGTACTATTTGCTTTTTTTATTGATGCATTTGATGAAAAAAAAGCTGAAATAGATCGTGCTGGAGCCGGTGGTGCAATAATTGCAGTTGGACGTGTTGAAATTCCAACAGGAGGAATTGTTGTTAATATAGCTGGTGGAGTTATTTGTTCAATTAATTCCAATGATTGTTGTTTAGATTCTTTAATAAGAAAACAAAAAAAACAATCTTTCTTGTTTTCAATCGAATAAACTTACCAACATGATTATGACGTATAAAAGCATTTGAATCTACATGACCAATATCTGGATGTGGAAACCATTGATGTAATTGTTTATCTTGATGATTCGTTTCATTTTGTTCATGTTCATTTATACTATTATTATGTTGATCATCATTTGTTGTATTTAATTGTGGTAAATCAGCTTTTTGTTTACTTATATTTAAATTTGTTTTATTCTTTTTTTGTTGTATTGCTGATGGACGAAGATTTCGAATAGCTGATTCAAAATCATTATTTAATCCGATAGAAGAATATCGTGATGAATGTTTTCTATCATCTTTTTCATCAGAATTTGAAAGTGATAAATTTATATCATCAGAATTTGTAATAAGATGATTATGTGTATAATGATGACCAATACGAATACCACCTCGATAACCATTCGATGGACGTTGCATATTTATCTATAACTACACAGATTTGATTTTATTCTTTTCAGACATTAAAAATAGATTTACATCAATCTTTTATTAATTCAAATCTATAAATTCCAAAATTCAGAATACAAACAAAAAAAGATTTTATTTATTTTTTAATTTTATTTTAAAGAATATCATAGATTTTATCTAAATAAAGATGTATTCAAAAAAAAGATCAGACACATAAAACAATAAAGCATTAATATTGTTTTGGTAAGATTAAGATGTTGATTTTAAATTATTAAATACATTTCGAACATCTTCAAATACCTAGAATTATATATTGAATTAAAAATAAATATTTCTTCCTTAATATATTATAAACCTTATTAACATCTTTCGAAGCATCAATTCGTTTAACTAAATTATCTTTTTCATAAAGTTGAATTACTGGTTTAGTTGATTCATTATAAGTAACAATTCTAAATATATGAAACAAAAAAACAATAAATTAATAATTTATTTGAATATTTTCTACCGTTTTTTTAAACTATCTTCATTATCATCAGTTCTGCCACTTGCTTTACCACGTTCAAGACATCGAGCAACACAAACCTTTTAAAAAATTCAATCATTGATCTTAATGGAAAAAAAACCATTAATTTACTTGTTCATCACAATCAAAAAATAGTACACATTGAATATTAACTTTGCCATCTAATGCTTTCTTCCATCCATCAACATTATCTTTATTTCTTGGAAAACCATCGATTAAGAAGTTATCTTTTGCACTATTGTTCATTGCCTTTATTAACATAAAATAAAAAACAAATAAATAAACTTCTTTTAATTAGAATATAAAATATACATTTTCAAGTAATTGACAAGTTATTGCAACCGGTACAATAGAACCATTTTTAATATGTTCATTTATTTCTTTACCTAAATTTGAATCAAGTTTTGCTGCTTCTTCTCGAAGAAGATCACCAGCTGATAAATGAACGTAACCATATGTCTATTCATAATAAAATAGAATGAAAGTTTGTTTTCTTTTTAATAATCTAAAGACAAATAACTAACTTCAGCAATACGAGTACATTGTGTACCTTTGCCTAAACAGAATCGTGTATAAATTATATAAAATAGTATATTAATTATACGTACCAGCTCCTGGTCCACCTAATACAAATATTACATTTGGTTTTGTTGATGACATTTTAATATCTACAATAAATAGAAGTAATTGAAACAAATAATACAGACTCTATATATATATATTGAAACGAAAACAATTGTATCTATACTAGATGTATGAGAAAATGGGAAGTATTTTGAAAAGAATCTTTTAATATTTAGTAGAAATGAATAAAAAATGGAATGTTATTTTTGTTAGAAGATAACTATTTGAAAAATAGAGCAAATAAACAATTGTGATGTGTTCAGGGTTGATTTCCATTACTACTATGGAATGGAGTATCGACTCGAAATGAAAAACACCAATTGAAGTCAACATAATACATCTCAGAAACTACTTTATTGATTGAAGGCGCCCTCTAACGATTATCATTTGGGTATTTTATAAACACACTGCAAAAATATTTTTTTTTCTATTCAGTTCTATTCTACTACAATAAAAAGAAACATTTGATGAGTATATATATATGTTCAAAATCATGGAATAGAACATACTTTAACTTTTCTAACTATTTAACTGCTTATAAATTAATATATCCTTATAATCGATATTAGAAATTTTGTGATAGTATTGTATAAAACATTTTATAATGGGAAGTAGTTTAAAATACAATGCAACAGGGATGTGCTGCAAAGAAAAAAGTGGGGAGGGCGATGTAGAACAGTTTTTCTTCCATTTGACGACCTTTCTTTGCAAGAAAATATACAACTTTTGCCAAGAAAACTGAGGATGTGGGTGTCTCTTCTCTTAGCTAACACCCACAAATTAAATTTTTTCCATATACATTTGAATATCATAATGATTTTCAAAGGAATACAATTGCTATAAAATATTTCACAGCATAAAACATCACTGATAGTGTAGTTCGTTTGACCTTTATTTCTGTAAACAAATTTTTGAAAGTGTGAATATAGATGAAAGTTTTTTAATTATTCATTATATCTATCCTCAAAAAATAAAAGTATCTTTAGAATCGATTCTATATTATTATTTATCTAGTGCTTTTAGTTAACAAATATTTAATTATAGTAGACGATTCGAGATTTTTGCTAGAATTGTATGTTTAGAAATATTTTAAAACAAACAAATAGGTATTATTTGTAAATGGAATATTTTTGTATTGTTTATGATTTTGAGAGTGTAGGTGTTGGTGTAGACATCTATGTGACTATAATAAGAGTATAGTACCTCGAACCAGGTTACACGATATTTTCGCGCGCTCTCATCCACAATCGGACATATTACACGGTAGGATCGCGTGCGGAAATATCGTGTCACGGGTATGCTACCATTAGATAATCATGACCATCAACTTCGAGACAGGTATATAATAATAAATCATCGCCCTTTTCGTCCAATATATTAGTGATAGATGGAAATATACATAATAGTTTTCTCATAAGCGTATTATTCTCTCTTTTTTAATAAATACAATATCAGTTCTTTATTTGTTAACCAAGATTTCAACGGCTTTTGTTTAATAAATATATCAGATAACTGTCTTCCTTTTTTATTCGAAAGTATTATACGAAGAATATTTTCGATATTATGAGATCTATTAAACTTATCTTCCATGTGTCAGCTATATTGTTAAAGAAATAATATATCTTATACTCGATTTTGATTTATTAAATAACTTAATATTTTTAAAATTATAAACGATAATGTTCTAGTTTTAGAATTAATCCATTCAGAATAATTTTCAAAATATCTGTTTGCAATGTTTTCACAAATAGATCGTCATGAACGACTAATTCTCTTGAAGATATTTGTTGCAATAGATCAAAATAAGTTTTTTCAGGCCATTTATCATCGGTAAGAGTATGTTGAGGGTATGGGTGTGATTTTATTCTGAGTTTGGCAGCCTATTCATACCCACATTCACAGCTATCTTCAGCAAATCCCGTTATTCGTATTCGATACTATTGATTAACACAGCTTGCAGGTAATATTACCGGTTTACCCTCAGCTGAAAACTAAATTTATAGAAAAAGAGGCAAAAATGTCGTCATAAAAAAATCAAATAGTTTCATTTAGTTAATTGTAAATCAATATAAAAATAACTATACATAAATTCTATGCTGTTGTTTTCAAAAATATAATAAATAAAATGAAACTAACTTAAATGAATTTGCATTATAACTTTGAAACAGATAGAAAAATAAGCATCACGATTTCGTATTTTAAGTATACTGATAAATTTGTCAGTTAGAAGTTCAACAATTTTGTTACTTGATTCTAAGATATACCTACAATAAAAAAATAGGATTTTTCTATCGTTTTATGTGTAAACAGGAAAATTATCTTGTTTTTTTAAAAAATACATTCTTTTGTTCTGTTTCCAAGCTAACAAATAATATAACGATTTATCACGCTTCATATAGTTTTGTACTACCATTATTGAGCAGCCAACATTCAGAATGGAAAACTGTTAAAGGTATGCAGTTGCATACTGGAATACTAAAGTACATATGTCACACGCAGACCAGTGTGCACTGATAGCGAACTTACCGACACGAGTAAGGTAATATAAACAGATGGCGCTTAGTACCAGCACAGCTTGTATAATATTTCTATCAATATAAATAAATAGTGCTATTCTTTTTAGTCTTTTATTAATTGATTCATTCAACTTATGGGAAAATTACGAAATGTTCTCATTTGAAAGTGTAAAAGGAATAAACTTTGATAAGAATTTTTGATTATTTTTATGTGTACAATTATTCTACACCGGCTTTTGATAATGCATGCATATCGTCAGATTTACGCAGTAATTCATTACGATTATCACCGCAATAGGCTCCATGTAACGCAATGCATACTAACGTCATAAGAATGAGTATCAAGTTTCGATTGGATGACGCAGAAGCTCACTCAAAAGGACGTAAGTGAAACGCATGTTTTCGTTTTTCTTTCATGAAACGAGTGACGCGCTTCCTTTCTTCATTTCTGTCTGTTCCGGTGAGTGAGCACGCAGCTTAATAATAACGAAAAAACACACAGGATACAAGCGATACTCAATTTGAAGTACTGCTTCAGTGGACCAATTCTTCACATAAATATTCTTTAGTATTGGCATTCAAATATTAGTTTTGATTTTTATATTATAGATCTGTTTCCATAACTCTTTCTTGGAGGTACCAGTCGTTACGGCAGATAGCTCAGAATGAATTGAGGTTTTTATTATTTACAAGTTTTTTACTCTAAATTGGTTCTCACTGAAACATTTTTTTAGCAAAATATAGCGTTTGTTGAAATTCTGTACAAAATAATATATTTCATTCATTGAGCATAGCTTCTTCCTTTTTTCGATGAAATGTAATAATATAGAAGATATTTTTTTAAATTTTGTTGATCAAGTGCTTATTTCGTCTACCAAGTTTGCTTTTTGTTGTGACGTGATCACAGTCCATATTGTTAATTAGTACATTTTTAATAAATTCATTTCTTCTCTGTTTCTAGCTCAACTAAACGTACGTCTTTAAACAACCTTCATCATGAACAGCGCAATATCTACTTCTCATATCTCAAACACTTCGAACTCCACCAATGAAGGTATTAATCAATCGTTTCTGTCCGATAACCGAATAACAAGATCCTGGTTTGCCTCAAAATTTAGTGACGATGCTGAATACATCCAAAATATCAAATACCATAACAAATTCGATTTTAATTTCATCTGGCTCGACGAATACGTACATGAAGTAGATACACTGTTTCAAAAAATTACCTTACCCAACCAATGGATCTGTTATCAGAATGCTACTGAATGTCTTGACTACGTTCTACAAACTCGACCCAAAATAACGTTTCTTATAGCCTCAGCCCGTCTAGCTGAATTATTTTTCAACTTACTGGACAATAATAAATTAAGAATGTTGTGCGTTTATATTTATTGTGTTGATATTATTATCAGTTATCATCAGAATTGGACAACAGATTTTTCGGATACTATTCGAAATTTATATTGTAACAGAAAAGATTTGAGTGAACAATTAGCTAGTGATATCGGTGAATTGTGCATAGAAGTCGCCGATATATTGAACAAACAAGATTTAAAAAACCAACTAGTAGATATCTGTCATCGAACAGCGTTATCAGATATTCTTAACGACAGTTCGAATCAAACATTCCACCTCGAAGTAGCGGCTAAATATCAGGTAAAATAATATAGTGTTCTAAGCTCTACTTCAATTTCTCTATTTGTACGCTCAAGGAATCTGAATATGATATTGACATAGCAGATAATACGTTCATGAATACAGCTAAACTAAAACGTTTGTTACGCTTAAAATAATTTTTGAATAGTTTTTATTCTAATATAAATACACTATGTCACAGTATGGATCATATCTAATGAGAATTTCATCTAGCACTAAAATACAAACCAAGCATTCTTATTAAAAGTCCAGATGCCATATGTTCAACTGTTCGATTTGGAGAAGAGAAACATGCAGTTTAACAGCAAACGTATAACAGGATAATAATCAAAATCTGTTTTATGAGAAGATAGATGGGTATGAGATGAGTAATGTGGATATAGTATGGATATTAATTCAACTTTCAACTATTCCCAAACCTTTGAAACGGATTTTCACTGTTAACTTTTGGCCTGTTTTTTTATAAGCGAAGATCTACATTTATATTTTCGAAAAGACTCACTAGCTAGATTTTATATAAATCTAATCACAACTACGTCGATCCGTAGAGAAATTAACGCTCTTTTCGACTACATGTCACAGAAAAGAAGATCAGATGCTCAAAATATCAAAATTTGTGTAACAAAAATCAAAAACGATATATGTAAAAAAGGTTTTGAGAAATTTATTACGTTTATAGTAGAAATAAGGAATAGCCCCATCGGAAAATATGTACTTCGATATAAAAATAATAAGTTTCAGGACCGCAACACATATTAGCTATCAAAAAACTCACGTTAGAAATTACCTGAAAATTATTGGGTAAAAAAAAAATTTCGGTTGCTTTTCCCGATCGATTAAGTTTTTGAACAAGGTGCGAAATAAATAAAATAAAAACTATATAATCCGATAAAATAATTGATGCTCTATTCAACTGTATCAAAATAAAAACTATATAATCCGATAAAATAATTGATGCTCTATTCAACTGTATCAAAATAAAAACTATATGGTGTTTTCCATAAACGCAGCAAGCTTCACAAAATCATCAAAAATAACAGAATCAACTTGTATTTTGTATATTTATGGAATATTTTTAGGATATGGCAGAAATATCGTGTGAAATTGATGATCCAGATTTTCTTTCAAAGCAAAAAGTAACCGAAGAAATGTTTAAAGACTTTCAAATCAGAGCGAAGAAAATATTCGATACAGTTTCAGATCCTGACTTCGTACCCAGTTATGAACGTTACTTGATGAATCATCCTCCGATCGATATAGTAGATGGAATCAGATTGGAGTTCATCTGGATTGGTGAGCACATCCCTAAAGCATGTCTAGATGTACTGGAGGATGCAATAGCACCAAAAAGATGGTCATGCTGTCGAACTATCGATGATTTACTTGCTTATATTAGGCAGATTGATGTCAACAAGCTGATATGGATTGCAGTTTCTGATACTATGGCAAAATCATTACTTGACACCCCCGACGATATCTTAAAATTGTTTCTGGGTGTTGTTATTTATTGTGACGATATTTCGTCTTACGAGAAGTGGATTAATAAATATTCTGAAATGTATACTAATCAACCAAAGTTGTTTATATGCTCTGGTCTTAAAGATATGTATAATACCATCACAATTTTATTCTCTTCAACGCTTATATATGTGGCAGATATTACTGGGGCAACATCTGATGGGAAAAGATTAGCAAAAGAATATTATAAACTAGCACTTGCAAAAAGACCATGTGATAGTATCAGAGGAATCAATATGTATGTAGAAGAGGCAATAGAAAAGTATCACGTGAGTATTATTCAGAAAGAAAATACTGTAAGTATCTGATACATCTTTAGCATTTTCTCTCTTTCAGAAACCAATTCATGTTAAAAAAGAAATATATGGCTTTGAAGGATCTGAGCCAATCTGTCGATTATTACGTGTGAAAATGCTCTATGCAAATTTCTTACAGCAATGCACTTATCTTCATAAACAATGGTGAGAATGCATGACTTATAATTTGACTGATCTAACACATGCTTAGTGCTCATTTCCATATAGTACCATATTTGTCAAAATTTCACTACAAACATGGGGATCTAACGTACTGAAAAATTGGGGACAGATAATTGACTCGGCTTATACAAGCGATAAAGTTAATACCCTCGATCCACAATGGAATGAAGAATTCATCTTCCAAGTAAGTACTTTTAAAGACTTTAGAGCACATCATGGAAAAAACTGAGGTCCGTTTATGCATATGAAGCACTTGCCAAATAGTATTCTTTTGATACAGTTTATTATTTTAGACGGACACCTAATACGAGAGAATTCTAGATTATAAACTTACCTACTGCTCTGACAGAACATTAGTCGCCATTGCTTTGCTACTAAATTTTACTATCATCTAAAAATGCCCAACTATGCTCCAAAAATACCAACCTGATTAGTGATTTTAAAAGTCAAGATAATTTTTGTTGTATTTACCTGGCACTGAGGTCATTAAAAATCCAACAAAATATGGATGGACATGCAGCATCATATAAACCTTTTCCCCATACTCGCCTACTTACACCCCATTTATCTCATACCCACACATACCCTTCGGCATGCTCTTACTGTTGCAAACTTTTTAAGCATGGTTGTAGGTGTAGGTATTTGTTACCTTACACACACACACACACACACACCGATACCCTCAAGATTAATTATCTGCATACTCACTAATCTTTTGTACATTATGAATCAGTCAAAGAAATCCCACGGAACGATCGAATAGATGCTTTTTAACCAAAAACACACTAGAATCAGTTTGAAGAAGGTTAATGAGAAATAGGCGGACAAAAGATACAGGTTGATTTCGGTTTCTAGAATTTAGCTTTACAACCTAGAAAACAGTATGAGTTGTATCAGGCATTTTAAATTAAACAATGAGATCCAAACAGGATTTACCTGCTATATTTTGTCGAATTTTAAGTGGTCTTAGTGTTAGACATATACGTATTTTGAGAGTTGATGTGAGTGAGTGAGTGTAAAGTGAATATAAACTGTTGCTCACATCCACTTACCCATCTTCAAGATTTCTTTGAATTCTAAGAAAAGAGTTAAATTTAGAGGACGATAGTGTGCGTAACGGTTGGCAATGACAGCTTAGCTCAATATAGACAGTTGTAGAATTCGCTAGTTTCTTCTATTAAAAATCGAACGAAGTTTAGGATAATGTAGAGTTCGGTATTCATCTGAATTTTATTCATAGAAAACATTCTTCCGATCAAAAAAAGAGATAGAGATGGACTCAGAAGACATGAAATCATATCTATCTCGATCGGATTCATGGAAGACTCTCCTCCGAGGATAAGAGAAGAAAAGAAGACGAGCAAGGCGGAGAAGACATCAGTTACGAACAATGCAATTTATCAGAAGAATTTGGTATTATCGTGTCTATTTATAAACGAATTCTATTTAAATTTAGTTTTGTTTGAATTTCTTTTAGTAAACACAAAAATTAAGTTTAATTAAAAACTATATTAATGCGCCTAATTAAAAACGAATTTTGCCTGTGACTTACCGTCGAAAATATGCAAGCATATTAGAAGATTACTATTTGACAAGGACTTCATATATTTCAGAGAATACTAAGTGCCCTTTGTGTAGTTCCAGAAGTAAAAATAATGTTTTGTGAACAATTAGGTACATCCAACAAAGCAACGTCTAATATTTGAAATATATAATGTCGATGAATATTTTGTAAGTGAAAAATATTAATCTTGAAAGAGAATCAGTTGACTTTTATAAGACTTTCTATTTAGAGAGACGAGCTTATTAGTGTTTGTTTTGTGGAACTAGATGCATCCATACCGACGACTATGGCGGACGCACCAATACCAAAAAAAACGTATCCTTTATTTGGATACAGGTTAGAAAGTTAAAACAAATCTAATTTATGCTGTAACTATAATTTAAAGCTCTTCTTATTTACCTTAATTCTTAGAACACAGTTTCACGTAACGGGTGTAGTTACTATTGGTCTTACTTATATGAAATCATTGAGTTTCAGATATCAGGTACCGTAAAAATTTAAAAAGTATTTGATTTTGAATAGAATGATAAATATTTGCAGAGCAATGATAGCCAAACGGACAGTGCAACGTTCATATGGAGAAAGTTCACGCCTGGACTTCCTAATGGCTGCGGTATACCGCTTCAGAAACCAGGTCTAATGAGTGCTGATGCAAAGTAATAAGTGCTGCACAGAACGTACGATCTAAGATCATTGTTCGACAGTCAAAAATGCTCAAACTATAGTTCTGCAGAAACAACTTTCTTGATTTCCGTTGATTGTAGGCTAGTTTCTCGCAGGAGATTTTCTTACCTTCATTAACATCTGACATTCGTTTACCTATAGCGTCTGCTTACTAAAGATGCATGCATTATTTTTCAACTATAATAAACTTTGATTTCGTCCCTGTTTTAGGGGTGCAACAAATTCAAAGCCTTCGATTCGGTCTACTCGGTCTGACTTTGATTTTAGGTTTGGTCTCTAGATTTTGATTTGGGTTTGACTTTATTCTCTAGACTTGGATTTGGATATCAGATGTCTGGAATGCAAATAGCTCTGATATTAGATGAGTAAAATCATCTGAACCATCTAAGGGTGTGAATGCGTGTGTGTGGGAGGCTATGGATGGATGATGAAGAAGAGAATATCTTTACCCACACTCTCACTGGCACCTTTTCCGTTGCCTTCACCCTCACTCACATCTTCAGCTTAACCCATGTCCTCAGCTACATTATTAAGATGGTTCAGGCGTTTTCACTCACCTATTGTCATAGTCACTTATGCTCGAGATATCTGTTATCCAAACCTAAATCTAAATTCAGTAAACCCAATCCCAGTACAAATCCAAAGAATTGGGTACCAAATCCAAATCTTCACTAGGATTCGTTGCACCCCTATCCTGTCTACATTTTATTCAGATAGTTAAAAAAATCAGACTGGATTAAGAAAAGGAATATACGTTCATCAAAATGATTCAATATATTTAAGTCGTCCAATTATGCAAAAAAATAGGGAGATTTGGTTGAAATGTTATTTGCCAGTCCTAAAACTGTTTTTAGATTCGTTAAAAATATTCTAGATTCTTTTTTCACGTCTTTCTATAACTAAATATTTTCGTTTTCGAATACCAGCTTCTGTTAGATGCATTTAAGCATGTTGACGATGGGTGAGTATGTGGATGAAGGGAAGGCAACCACTGACACCTCATTCATCCACACCCACACCTACTAAAACCCACAGTCACAGCCACACCCACATCCATAACCTCACACACACAGTCACGTATTACAACCACACGACAAGGTTATTCTTGTATTTCTATCTTCTTAGCATGTTCTTTAACGAATCTTACACAATTCTATGGTATGATGACGATAATATATCAAGTTCAATGGAAGATATGACGGTGGTCTGGTTAACTGAAAATGTTCATTTCGTTCCGGAAATGTATGTACTAATCGTTCAGATTCGAAAGATTGTTTGCCATCTGGAATTATTTGACGATATAGCTGATTTTAAGAATTATCTTGAATCCACTGTTCCTAGAACCTTATTTGTGATTATATCAGGTGCTTTGTGTGATCGTGTTTCCGACTTTATTGATGATTTGTCTGAAATACAATTTATTTATATGTTAACTACAGAAAATCGAATCCGATATCATTTATCGTGGACAACATCATATTCAAATGTGCGAGGCGTCTTTATCAATACAGATTTATTACTGTCAAAAATTGGACAAGATGTCAACAACTGGATGGAGAACAATAATAGTCACGATACATTCGATTTCATCACAGAAAATGCCATCATGTCTACACGAGATATACATGCCAAACAAATACAATTTAAATATTTACGACTATTATTAGATGTTTTAAGACAGACTGCTCCTCCTGCTCACTCTGCAAAAGACAGAACGATGCATTATTGCAAAGCTGCGAATGCTGATAACGAACTGAATGCTGATCAAGAAGATCATTCTAAATCAGCGACTGAATTTTTGACAAATTATACTGCCGAGAAAGCAATTGACTGGTATGCGGACGAATCATTTCTTAAGCGTTTACTGCATAAAATACTTAGCACAGATAACATTGATGCTCTATTAGACTTCGGTTTCTGTATTGTTGATCTCGACAGCCAATTGAAAAAATTAAACGCTCAACAAAGTCAAAATGAAACTGAAACTAATTTTCATGTTTATTGTGGACAATATATAAATCCAATGGACTTAAAAACACTTCACATGAATGTAGGAGGCTTTATTTCAATAAGCACTTTTTTTTCAACAACGATGGATCGGCAAAAAGCACTTAAAATTATTGAGAGAGTATTCCAACAGCCACTTTTTGAAACAGTATTGTTCGATATACGTATTGATACGTATAACTCAGAGTCATCCAATTTTGCAAGGATTACACGAAAGTCAGGGTATAAAAATGATAATGCACAACAGGAAATATTATTTACGCTTGGAACGCTGTTTCGTATCAACTCAATTCTCCCACCGAATAACGGTAATTATTGGACAGTCGAAATGACAGTTTGGGATAAGAAGCACGAGAACTTTGACGATTCTTTCGACGTTTTTCTGTTGCATTTGGTCGACATATTATGCCATCTCTCATCCAAGACAAACACCATGAATGACATGATATTAAAGAGATGTCGACAGTATTGTGCTAACAATGATATTAGACTGGAACAGATTGATGAATTTGAAAGAACATACCATGCTGATAATGCAATACGATGGTACACAAAGGATACAATAATTTATCGCCTTTTAAATCAGGCTCTCCGTTCAGATGATGTGGATCTTATTTTAGATTTTCATTTCTTCATTACAGATCTCTACAATCAACTATGTAAAGCACATACTGATTTCGATCGAAGTACATTACACTCACAGTTATTCACGGTTTATAGAGGACAGCAAATGAGTATGATGGAACTGAATAAACTAAAACGGAATATTTCCGGTTATATAGTTGTGAAAACGTTTTTCTCTGCTACAAAATCAAGTGAAATGGCTCTAACTTTTGCTGGTTATGGAGGACAGCGACCACAGTTCGAATCAGTTCTTTTCGTTATCGACATAAATAGCAGTGATCGTGTCAGTACTATACAAAAACCATTTGGCAGTATTGGTCACTTGAGTAATATTCCAGACGAAGATGAGTTTTTATTTCCTATGGGAACTATATTTCGTCTGAATGCTGTGAAAGTATTATCACAATCAACTTGGATGATTCATTTGACACTGTATAACGGTGAAAATAAAGACATTAACGAACTAGATAAGTATCGAACGTTGATTTTAAAGTTGGCAAAAGACAGACAAATATCATTTATTAGAAAAAAACGCTAATATCTGCTTTAAGATAAACACACCATTTTAACTTTTTTGAAGATTATTTCATTTATTTTTCTCTCTTGTTCAAATCCTTAACTCTTTCATTTTTTAATATTACAAATTAAAATAAAAATGTCAAAGTTTAAATTGATGGACAAACTCAAATACGTGAAATTAACTGATTATTGATAGTACTGTAATTGCCTGTGTTTTGTTACGATACGACACAACTTGAGTGTCTCTACGGGTGCGTAGCTATTGCATACTGACTTACTGACCACAAACTTTGTCATAAAGAATCTTTCTTATTTGTCTGTTTGTAGACAAAAGTACTACAGATTTAAGCGTAGCGCTAAATGCAATGAATAAATGCAGAATGTCATATAATAATGATGAATGTTAACTCATTCGATGAAGTTTAATGCAATGACAAAACGGCTTACCACCAGCACAAATAATATCAATATAAATAAATATCTTTTTGTAGGCTTTTATATTGAACGCGCTGGTGTGAATCAATTGAAAAACAGATCGACTGATCGCTTAATGAAAAGACAAGCTCAATCTATTAGTCTCAAACTTTTGCTTTTCAGCAATTGATTTTTTGTCGAAAAATAATCTTCTTTTTGAAATATGCTTGTAAAATAACTAATTAAATGCAGAGGGTGGATGTAGGTGTGGTGAGAGACAAGAAGATGATACAGACAGCTGCATCTTTAAGATCAATACTACGTCTTGTTCGTTAACAAATGTGAGTCACTTTGAAAAACTTCGTTCAAATTTCAGATCAATCAAGAGTATATACAAAAGAAATGCGTAACACAGAAAAGTAACAAAAATATTAGTCAACACTAAGGATTTCGACATCAGTATCTAATGGTATATTGTCAGCAGTGCATAATATAGAAAAAATAGATAGAAGGATATGGGTGTGTGAGGATATCGCTTCTCTTAGTTCATACCCTCATCTATATCCACAAGTCACTTGCACTTTGAAAAAAAAATTGAACTTTTCTAATCAAACTAATACGAAAACCAAAGACAACAAGCTCATCTACACAAATTATATTCAATGAGTAGGGGTATGCAGAAGAAAGACATGCTCACACCCACCCTAGTTTTGACGGATGGTTTTCAAACAGCTTTTATTTTCAAATGACACTTGACAAAAAAAAAATCCTTATTTAAGTTTAATCCAAGCAAATCTCTGTGGTAGTTCGAATACAATAGATTGCTGTGACTTTGTTTATTAATTGATTATTGCATATTTATCTATAACTAAACAGATTTGATTTTATTCTTTAGAAAAACTTTTCGTTTTGTTGACAATAGATTCATATCAATCTCATATTATTTCATATCTATAAGTTCTAAAGTTGCGACGATTCAAAATCAAAACAAAAAAGATTTTATTTATTTTATTTTATTTTATTTTTAAGAATATCATAGATTTTATCTAAATAAAGATGTATTCAAAAAAAAAGATCAGACACATAAAACAATAAAGCATTAAT